TGGGTGTGTGTTTTTATTTTGTAACCATATTACATACTGTGATTTACTTATATTTACCTACATCAGTGATTTTATAATATGCTAATGTTCATTATCGCTTTCTTCATCACTGTCACGGTCTGATGAATCATAAACACTAGACAACAATGGAAAGTTGTTGCAGGAACTCCGTTCCGCTTCGCAGTTGCACATCTCAGTACACTGAAGATTATTTCTCCTACACGTGCATGTATTATTTGAACATGTACTTATTAAACAGGTACATCTGATAAGTTCAACAACTGCTTCAGGGGCAGCCTACTTTTCTGACAAAACAGGTCTCAATTTACCATATTCCATAAACCAGCCCAGTTTGCATGGATCAGGGATTTCTGGATGAATAACAGTATCCTGGCTCCATATATTGGCCTGCAGATGTACATGCAATATATGCTGATATAAAGCTCCTGCAGTTGGTGGCAGCTTATCTACACCTTGATTGCTTGGCAGAGTTTTGAATCTTTTCCATTGTAAAGTTGAGGTATCTTTAGCAGATACTTTCTTTGTTCCGAGAAGACTACACAAAAACTCCTCTCATCTCATTCTAACGTTTAAACATGGTATATTCCCTTCCCCAAGCCTGGCCATAGCATGTAAAACATCTATATCACATATATATTATGGTAATAACCATTCAGCATATGGCAATTGCATATAACTAGCTCTATCACACGTTTTTGTTTTACAGTTACAGGTCGGTTATTATTATATTAATATGTGTGCTCAAATAATGGAAATTGGCAGCCATTTTAAATTGTAATAGCTCAAAAATGTGTACAATATTTAGTTAACTGTTGTCATTTTTATGTGTGGATTTCCAATTGAATACTGCATTTTAATGACATAAACTTGCAATATTAGTGACAATTTTAGAAAAAAAAAATGGTAGCCTTTTTGAAACTGCTGGCAACCCCCCTTACATATAAAAAAAAATGTTGTACATACTTTTTTGTTTTTTAGATGTTTATTCTACATCATATCCAATTTTTTTTAAATATAGCAAAAAAAATGCAGCCAACCAAAGTTTGCTGAACTATTTGGGTTGACAATTAATTTCTAGCTTCTATCTTCGTAGCTACGCCTGGGTGTATCTCTTGAGTTGAGTCCTTTGTAGGATGGCTATGTAGAAGTATTTTCCATATGTTTCAAAATGCATTTTACTATATTTTTTTTTTTTTTTTGCGGTCAGAAGCAGTCTTTGGCCCTCAGAAATTTGTTGGCAACCCAAATTTGGGTCGTGACCCATAGTTTGAGAAGAAGTGATCTAGAAGATCTAGGTTATTCTTTTCTTAAACATAACTTTTTTGAACCTACAAGGAAGAACCCCACAGATCTTTGTTGGGTATTTGGGAATTCCCTAAATATGATTCCATAACCATGAATCATGTGGGTACACCTAACCAAATGCATGTGGTGAATTATGAAAATGAGGAATCACGCATCTACAGTGAAATAATAAATTCCTGACTGACTCTGATTTCGGAAGGCCACTGTGCTTGGAATAAACAATTGTGGCTTTTACTGTATCTTCAGCCAAAAAAAAAACAAAGATTTTCTGATTCTGATTTTTATATATTGGACCAATAAAAATTGAATTGAATTGAAGGTATGTCCTTTTAAGGCTATAAACACCTTGCCTGTAGGATTTTTGAGTGTATTCAAAAGTTAAACAGTTTTATTTCCCAAGCTATGCCAATTTAACTAAATTTGAAAATACAAATCTTAGGCGTTTGTTAATATAGTTAAGGAATTAGATCTGAGTGGGTTTGCCCCACATGTGGTGTTTTGTTTGAAGCATGGGACAATAAAAAGTGTACAGCAATCTAATAAATTGTGCTATAAATTCTATTTATAGGCTCACTATTATTATAACATGCGCACCACCTTCAAATCATATTCCTACCTTTAAACTATTCCTTCCTAACCATCACCACTTTCAAACCACCACAACTAGATAAAATTTCAATTGTTTTTGTCACTGTACCACTTTATTATTGTGGCTGCATCTGCATTAAATACAACTACTTATAAACAAAAAAATTAAATTGAAGTGATTATATTCTTTCATGCAGTACATGGTTTTTTTTTCAATTTATTGCAGAAAATGAGTTAAGCCGGCTAATCAGTGGACTGCGTCCTTCAAACCTAAATACTGAATGGTTAAACAAGTTTCGTCATGCCTTCTTTAATGTAATGACCAATAAACCTGACCACATCACACCAAAAGGTAGCCTACATTCAATCTTGCATACATTACATTACATATCAAAACTCAAAATAACTTGGTCAAAAAAGATCTCCAGTAACATTTCGATAACACAGTGATGTATGACGTGGTTTGCAAGAATTCCTAGAAATTTGAATTTTAGCAGTGTCTTCAGTTAATACTCAAATAGTAAAGTATGTTGCCACCAAAGGTCTTGGTACTTATACTAATGTAAGGTACTAGTTACATATCCCCAGTACCTTCGTTGTTTATCTGCACCTTTTCCATATACCCATTGTATGTGATTTGTGTATTTTTTTTATAGTGATTCCAGAATTACTTGAATCCATTGTAGCTGCAATGATAACAACTGGTGAAGATAAGATTTTCCCTATCAAGGCCTGTACTATCAATGATACTGCCCTGAAGGGGCAGACTCTCTCATCCCTACAGAATAAAGGAGTCAAGCTCTCCATCAGGTAACCGTGTACTTTATTATAGCCATTGGAGTATACTGTTAAATGTATGTCTAGCCAATTTCCTCTCTAAACATCAGAATACTACATTTTTAGTTTATCACATCGTGACCATCCTGTCCTATTTCACATGGATACAATGGACTTCATTGCAATTTTTATCATATTAAATATACAAATCAAATTGAAGTTTAACAAGTGGAAGGATGCAGAGAAAAAAAGAAATAAAAACATTTGAAACATTACAATATAATATACATAAACATTAGAAAAGGTGGTATTGCAACTTTAAAATACACTTTTGCTGAAATTTAATCTTAATTTATAAATACACATTTGTAAATTTTCGGATTATTATTATTGACGTTATTTCGTTATAATCATTATACTGTATATACAAAATGCCAAAATTATAAATATAAAAACAAATTTTATATATACACATTAATTTTCTAATTATCATTATTATTATTATTTTTTATAATTATTACTGTACATAATGCAATGTTACTGTTGCTGCATCAACTTTTCTGTATTTACTGTTGGTTGAGATTGAAATTGGAAGTAAAATACCCCAGTATAAGCTATAACTCATGTTAAAGAAAATATTTTTTAATATAATTTAACTTTGTTACAGATATGGCATGTATCTGCGTTTGCTGTCTAATCACGATGAGGCTTTGGAGAACCTTGCCATTCTTCTAAAAAAGTGTCGTCATTACCTGAGAATGCAGCAGAGGACACTTAATTCAGATTTGCGTATCCTTATTTAGACAGAATATTAGAATTCTTACACATGTAATGATATAGAAAGATGATCATGTAGTAATAGAAAATTTGGAGAAATATTCTTCAACACTGTATTGGGCTCTTTAATAGACAAAATCAGCAACTGGGATCACATGACCTATAAGTGGGTATTATTTGTAAACGGACAGCGCCAGTTACGCTCTTTAACAAAAAGGTTGCCATTTAGCCTTTTTAGCAGCCAAATGCAAATCTGGCCATAAAAAAAAAAAAATTTGCGTAGCCGTAAAATATAAAGTCACGGCCAAAATTACATTTGGCAATATTTGTAAAAAGTCAGTGAATTGCCTGAAAAAGAGTAACTAAACAACAAGCTAAGGCTTATTTCTACAGTGCCAGTGTACATAATGGCATTGTGATGTGACTTTAATTTGTTATTTTTTTATAGTCGATTGTTTAAGCCTCCTTATCGAGAGATCAAAAATATTAAATTGCAGTATTTTGATTAATACTCCATGAGCTACATGTTGAGATTTTGTTTGATATGGTAGTACAGTAGTAAAGTACATTATTATTCATCAACATCGTGGAACATTAGTTCTATAAGTATGCTGCTCATGGAATTTTTTCTTTCCCCTTATAATTACATTTTAAAGATACAAAGCAAATGATAATTAAACAAATAACTTACAAATCACATCACTTCATTTTGTTATATAAATATTCGTTTTTGAGTACATTAGTAAAACAATTGTTTGGGTTTACAGAATAAATGAATTTGTTGGCAGAGAGACAAACGAGGGGGTAAGAAAATCCAGAGACCAAGCACCTGTTGCATTTCGATGCGTTGAACACCAGAGTCCCTATTCTTGCACACTGGTTCAATTTTTTCATCGGTTTGGTAGGTCTTCCCATCTGAAAATTCGGATTTGGTGTGATTGCAGATATTAGCCTTAGCAAAACTTTATGAGAAGTGCCACTCTTGATTACTATTACAAAAAACACTGTATGAAATAACTTTGGTATGGCGATACACATCCAAATATTTATTGTATGAAATATTTTCTTTCCTTGACAAACGGCTATAGGTTTCTTGCAGCGTGATTATGTTGGTTTTGACTGGTTTGCTGCTTCTGTGTTCCTGATGATGGCAGGTAACAAAGACAAAGCTTGGAACTTCCTCTACCACTTCTCTACATTGGCATCATCAGGGTTCCTATGGATGCCTAGGCTGTATGCTTCAGTAAGTAGCTTAAAGATTCAATTGGTTGTAGTTAAGGAGGTCTTTCGGTATTTGGGCTTTGGGACCTACAGCAGCCATAGTGCAGCATACCAGGAGATATGTCTGCTCTTTTCTAGACCAAGTGGTCCCTGGCTCTTGGTTGAAGAGGATAGTGTTTCAGCATAATTCCCCCTTGTTTATATATTGACTTAAAATTGTGTGTTTATACAGAGAAATGGATGCAGATAATTACATCAAGAAATGGTGTATATAATTTTAGAGCTGTTGACCCCTAACCAACTCAACCAGGCTTACATCCAGTGCCCCTCTGTAGGAGAGAGCTGGCTTCCCTGTTGTGGGAGCTTGATTTTATTGAGAAAGAAAAAACATCCTAGGCAAGGTTGTGACAACAGTGAATGTGACACCTTATCTCTGACACTAGGGACAGACATCAGTACTTTGTTGAAAACTACTGGTACTGGTATGGGCATTTATAATGCACCTTTTCCATGCGGTTATAAAGCGCAATACCTCCCTGGTCATTGGGTCCACAGGAGCAGGCAACCCCACCAATAGGCACCCATTTAGACTCCTGGGTGAAGAGATGCAATGCAGATAAAGTGCCTTGCTCAAGGACACAAGCAAATACACAGGGAGGGGTTGAAACCCTCAAGCTTGCGAAACAAAAAACTGCACTAATAAACTACACTTTTTAACAATGGTAGTGTACCTCAATTCTGAGGTGAGTTTAATAATAAAAAAAAAAATTAAAAACATTTAAAAGCATTGGATAAAACTCATTAAACACATTAAGTGGAATAAAATTAGAAAAAGATACAAAGTTTTAAAAAATGTCGAAAGCACATTAAAAATCATGGAAACACATTGAATGGGGTAAAAAAAACTGTAAAATGCTAAAAACAATGTTGTCTCTAAAATATCAGTTAAAATTTATCAAAATAATGTCAAGACTAGTCATTTGTAAATTACACAAAGCGAATAATTTAGATTATAATAAAAAGAATGTGATCGATTAAAGAAGTTTAGTCAGTTAAAAATGTTAAATAACATGTACATCTCAACGATTAACCATATCGCATTTAATGAGATTACTCTTGATAGATTGTAGCCAACTAAATCTAATGTTTCCACACAGGAGCATAGCATCATGTCCAGTAATAGTGTGGGCCATCGGTGCATTTCCATTTTCTGAATACGAGAAAAATATTTAATTCAGAAGATAGGTTGCCAATGGATTATCTCATAGAATTGCTTCTTTAGGGGTATTTCTTGTGGCTTTAAGAAGTGTGTGTGGCATATGGAGCTGTACACTTTCTAATTTACTCATGTCTGACTCTAAGGAAACTGCACAAGCATTTAAACACTTGTATTTCATAAAAACACAACTGCTTTGAACTTCATCAGAGGCAAGTGCCTATATTTAATACAATGACCTTTTCGGCCCCAAACCAGACATGTTTCAATGACCGCTAGAGGTCCACTGTAATGGTTTTTTTTTAATCTCTCAATTCAGTGATACAGTATACTAAATTGCAACGGAATGAACATTTTAAAGGCACACTAAAATCACCAATTTCACCTGAGTTCGCATGCGGCCCATCCCTCTCTTTATACTATGGAAAGATGAAAAGAAATTTACTCTTTATCATAATTGATTTTCTTTTGTTAAGGTGCACTTGCCATTGGAACAGACTATAAGTGGTATTCATCCAGTGTTTTCCTCTACTGGGCACAATGTTGAGCTAATACTGCAACAAGAGGTTTCACATGTATACTCTGCCTTTAAGATGTCAGGTTATACTCCTTCACAGGTTAGACTACTATTACATTGAATATTTGCTTTTTCACATACTTTAAAAGTGTCATGTCTGTAGGATTGATTGATTGAGTTTATTTATTAACCAGAGTCAAATATATATATATATATATATATATATAAGGCTGCAAGAATAAACATAAACAATTACAAAGTTTGCAACGGTAAGACTGGTTAAATGGATATTCCAAAAAAGTAAAATACTTAAATCCATTGGGGTCCAAAAAACTTGGAAAAAACAAATTGCATTTATATATAAAATAGTAGGCAATTATATATAATTATATTAAAAGGGGAGAAAAAAAATGGCCAAAAACGGATAATTTTAAAAATCGTAAAAAAGATTTTAAAAGCACTTTAGTGTTTGCTTAAAAGTATTTATATTGGTTAATTTTTATTTATAAAAAGGAATTCTGTTCCAAGCTCTAATTGCATTATAATAAAAAGTTTTACAAGGACATCCTTTAATAACGGGTATAGGATAGTTACACATGGTGCTACTTCTAGTCTCTCTCTGATGAAAATTCCTAACAAGAAGCAACGTTGTTAAAAATCTTATAAACATTACATGGTGTTCGGATTATACATTGTCTTTCAAAATTTTGTAAATTTTCTGGGTTTCATCAAACATCTGGAGATGAAATAAGAGATGTTATTTGTGCAAAATCATCGCAGACCTGTATTCTGGATCCTTTACCTTCCTCCATTTTGAAACCATGTTTACCAACCATTATTCCCTATCTGGAATCAATTGTTAATAATGGTTTTGCTACTTGTAATTTTCCTTCATGTCTTAAAGAAAAGTGGCCTTAATGTGAATGAATTTAAGAATTATCGTCCTGTGTCCATGCTGCCTTTAATTGTCAAGCTTATTGAGAGGATAATGGTTACTGTTACTGTTCCGTAGCCGTCTTCCTCAGAAAACACATGGCCGTCATTGACAGGATCCGTTGACAGGATCACTGCTGATGGTGTTCACTTGAGATCAATAATATCCCATTATGCTCACAAATGTATTCTGTTATATTTTCATATTATTTTATGTTTTTATTTATATTTGTATTTATATTTTTTTTTTGAAATTTGATTTATTGTATATAGACTTTTTAATGTAATTCTTTGTAATAATAATATTTATCTTTCTAATATAATTCTTTTTGATATTATGAATTTTTAAACTTTCCTTTTTGTACATTGTATTTGAATTTGATAATTTTCCTATTTTGCATGTTTTTTGATATTGTCCGTTTTGATGTTCTTTGATGTTTTGATATTCTATATGTTTTCTATATTAATTGTAGTGTACTAAAGACAATTTTCTGATATATTTTATATTAGACCCAATAAATGCTGTGGATAGCAGCGCATTCATTCATTCATTCATTATTTATTTATTTTATTCCATTTTTAAAATTTTTTTTTAACTGATATCCCGTAACCCAGGGTGGGACCCAGACAGGTGCTCTCCCTCTGGGTCAGAAGGATCCTGGAACTCATCGTGGGCAGGGGCGCTCATATCACTAAATAGGCCAATCACAGCCTAATGCTGAGAATGCCTAAGGATTACTCATCTAATTATTTATAAGCATGTTTCTCTGTCGAATGGTGATTAGGTTAAATAGGTATCTGTCTACTAACAATCTTCTTCTGTCTGTTCAGTCTGCTTACAGGAAAAAACATAGTGTTGAAACTGAAGGCCTGGTTAAATCTCAAGCTTTTTTTATACCAAACTGTTGGAAAATGGGCCTTTTCATATACTGTTAGGTATACCGTATACCGTAGGTTTACCGTTATAATTACTAGCCGTGATTTATTTCTTTCTTTCTTTTAGATTTGTCAGCACTGGTTAACTCAATCATTTTGGAACTATCTTGACTGGCAACAGATTTGCCATTATATTCTTGTGTGCATTCTATTTGGTGTTGACTATCAGGTGTACATCTGCATTGCCATTCTCCGCTTCATGCGACCACACATCCTACAGCACCGACAACAGCAGAACTTACAGGTGTTTCTTAAGGTACAGGTCTCCCTCCAATTAGAGACCTCTTCTGGGAATGGGGTTTCAGTGGTCTTTAAAATGTCTATTTAGAGAGAAATTAAGAAATGATATAGTACATGTACTGTAAGATAGTTTTATTCCAAGTGAATGCAGATTGATTCTTAATAAACTATTCCTTGATAATCACACATTAAGTCCTGTGCTTGTTCTACCTAAATCTCCAAAACATTATTACTAACAACACAGTCATAATAAAACTATCAGTAGGTCTATTCAATATAGAGCACTACTCAAAACATCTTATATCTGGTGGTGAACAAGTCTTTTCAGAAAGACTATAAACCATAGGACCAGTGTACAGTAGGCTAATGTGCACACCTGGAACACTGTATACACAAAAGCTTATAATGTATATATTTTTTTAATTGAAGGGAAAATGTTCAGTTTGGTCTTTGGTGTTTAATAGAATCTCTATAATTAAAGACCAGCACTACATTTTTTGAGGGAAATTTAAAAAAAACAATACATACATAAAATGTTTTAATGTTTTAGAATAGATATAGAGTTATTACATGCTGTTATTTTAAAACACTACTTGTTCTACCCAACTTCCATTAAAATATTACTAATATCACCACTATAATTGGAGGTTGCATTTGTCAAAACCATTGTCTTGGTCTCTAAATAGAAGGAATGTTTAATTGGAGGGAACAGTTAATTATAGAAGATAGGTATTTAATCGGTTTAGAATGGCTGCAGCCATCCACTGATCTGTATTTTCATCTCATATTTTTTATATTATTTAGGAAGAAAGCATTGTAGGATTTAAAGTGGGACAACATCTGCAGTACATGAAGTCGTTGGAAGAGAAGTACCGAGCTACTATTTTACCAGACATGGTCAATCTTGCAAAACAATGACCAAAAAAAGATACTGAAATCGTTTTCTTGAAGCTGTTAGCACAAGCATTCAGGGAAGTTCACCCAACAAGATTCTTGCGTTCTTGACGTCATTAGACTAAAAATTTGTTTAGCAAGCGATAATGCAGACCTTAGGGCAGACTTTTCAGTTTCAGACATTGCACTTTCCGAGTGCCTTAGGACATCTATAATAGCGTCCATGCAGTGTTTACAGCATTTTTGCCGTTTAAAAAGTTGATCAAATTGAGCGATCTGTATTTTAAAGAAATCATCACATACATTTTTATATGGAATGAATGCAATGTTGCCTTTAGGGAAAATCAATAATCAACTTCCTGGACATTTTTTAAGGTGATAATTTCATTTAATGGCAATGATAAGTTGGTGAAGTACTTGGTTTTATCATGTGTAATAATAGCAGAGATGAACATGACATTAAAAAACAATACAGAGGCATTTGCGAAATCTTTGTGTGTGCTACAACAATTCTCTATGTTTGTAAATTGTCACGATATTGTAGTGCAAGCTCTATTTTTCAGGAGTAAAATACGTATTTCAATGGACGCCCAGTTGCTTTTATTTTTGATAAGGGTATTTGGGGAGGCAATTTTTATTTTTTTTGTGTAAAATCAATATGTATATATTCAAATAAACACCCCTTAACTTCACTGTAATATGCCAAACCAGTCAATCGTCGCAAAAATCAATTCTGGGTTGTTAATACAGGGTTAAACAGTAATTTTAAATTTGAAAGCTATAAAATGGTAAAAGAATCATTTCTAACCGACATTGATTTCGGCATTTCTCAGGCAGAAACCATCACCAAATTGTTAAAAAATGTTGTTTTACAACAGGGAATGTTGTTTTAAAACAGGGAAAATAACAGCATAGCATGGTGTATAGGTTAGTTTAGTGCAATAAAATACGATTTCCAGCATGTTTTGGTCCTCTCTGAAACACGATTTGTGACGAGTGACTGGTTTGTCTTGTCCTTGCTACAATTACTTACGAAATGTGTTACTGCATTATCATCAGAATAGAATATTGTGTTGACACGAGGGGGTGTTCATTTGAAATGCGCATCTGGGGGTTTATTCAAATAAACACTGTAATAACAACAGACTAAAATAAAGTGAAGACTGCAATCAATGAGAATATTATTTTTTGGTTTTATTTTTCAATTTTATATACTGTATTAATTGTTTTATGAAATTTTCAAGTTAGGATTTACATCATCACAATTTTGTAGCATGCATGGGTTTCCTTCCAATTCTTTAAAATGCAGATGACCCACAAAGACGTTCACCACAGGGCAACATTACTTTATTCTTTCTGACCAGTAAAGGATAACAAATACCATAGGTTTTAAAACTCCCACATCAGCAGGTGACAACTAAAAATTCACAGAGACACCAATAAGACTGCCAGATCAATTAGTATGGTGTCCAATTAATAAACCTATCACACCTTTAGGGTGTAATTTCATTACAAAATTTTTAATTAGTTGCCAAGTGCTTTTGTAATTTCAATGTGAGCATATGGATGTCTACGATGAAATAATTGAGAGAAAATTATGCATATCAATAAACCTCATACTATTCAATTTCTGAATATCCTTGACTCCACAATTTTGTTCAGTTCATTAACAGTCAATGATAGACTTGAGGTGTGTAACAAACTATTATAAATGTTATTTAGAATATGTTTAATTCTCGCTATTTTTTTCTGATATCAACTTTTAGGAGGTGTTCGGCAGCAGCTGCAATCTTCCAGTGTATTTGACTTGCTTCTTCTTTTGTTAGTGTTCTATCCATACTCCTATATGTAATCCTATTGCAACGACTAATGACATTTGTCTTTGGGTGGACAAACTCATCAATCAGTTCCACTGCTTCCACAAGGTCACCCCCAATATTCCGAACGAGGTCGTGGAAGTCATTTGCTTCGTAATTAGGAGGACACCAGTAAGATATATCCATTAACAGTGGTGGGTACTTGCTGTAAGGCTAAAATAAAAATTCATAATATGCAATTATTGTTTCCTTGCCTGGTGTTTGTGTATATATCATTTAATGTACTTTATTTCATTGCGTATTACACAATACCTTGGGTTGTTCTAATGGGAATATCCAAAGGTGTAGAGCATCGGAACGGGAAACGGTTTCTTGGGTTTAAATCCCGATGAAGACATGCGTTTTTCTTAAACATATCTTTATATAATTATATAGATGTTTTAATCTATTGTTATTTTTTGTATACGAACAATGATTTGTCATGGCAAAAGGAGCTGTTGCCGAGTGATCCCCAATACATTCATGATTGAACTAAGGTAAAGTGTAAAATGAATGTGTTCACAAGCTTTACCCACTCACCAATATTCTATATTTAAAATGTTAAATTATTACATAGACCCTGTCTCTTATACACATCTAGATGTGTATAAGAGACAGCTATAATTGGAGGTTGCATTTGTC